TTCTCTCGGCTTTGCCTGCCGGGGAAGAAAACACGGATGTCGGACGAGCTTTCGCCTTTGAGGTCGCTTCGAAAGTCGGAGCTCGCTACTGCTCGCATGTATCGGCGCCTGAACCGCTTGAAGACATGAGCCACGCGAAGCGCAAGAAGGCAGCTGCCGACCACCCGGGCCTTTGCGGCGTCTACCACGCTCATATCATCGCGGCAGTGAGGACGCAGGACGTGGCCGAGAAATGGAATCAAACGACAGGGAACAAGTACCGCAACCAGGTGCGTGCATGTTTCTATCGGAGTTGCAACGTTGCGACAGCATGCAAAGCCCTGCTTGCCCACCATGTTCGCACCTGTGTAGTATTACATACTACATGCTCTCGTTTACATCGCCAGCAAAACGCCAAATGACAGCATCCACGTATTTAGACTACGTGTTTAGGTTGCACACGCTCCGCATAATTGTAATTTATTTGTGTATTTTTTTATGTGAGGACTGGTGCGCTACAACACAGCAGCAGCAGCAGCAGCTATTTATAATCTAGTACCACACATCGACTCCGGAGCGTTGCTGTACTGCTTATGGCTGCCCCCGAAAGAAAGGCTGCCTGTTGCCGGGGTTGAGACACACATGTGTGTTGAGATGTACGGCATATCCACTGAGCTAACAGTCAGCGCTGACTGTAAGCTCAGTGGATATGCCGTACATCTCAACAATGTGCTTGTACTTTTGCGCTAGACCTAACAGACAGACCCGTGATGTGTTATGTTTGCTTCATATTGCCTCCAGGCGTGCTACAACGGGGCCGAGGCTGTGAACGCTCGCGGTGCCGGTGTACAGCTCCCCAGGGCGGAATGCTTCACGCGCGCGTGCAGGGCGCTGTTGCCCGGATCTGGCGAGATGGACCCATTGGTCGTGGAGGCATTTCATCGTAAAAATCAGGGCGCGGCGCGGGGCTTTTGAAGGCAGTCCACTAGTTGCTCATTTTGTCGATTGCTTCGTTTGTCATGACTGGTCGGCGAAAATAAAGAAGGACGTTCGTTCGTGCGTCAATGGCGGTAGGGTTGTGCGGGATGTGGAAGGCGCCCCTGCCTTCGAGGAGTGTGTGCAAGGGCCTACCGTGTGCGTTAGGGTTGATATCGTATGCCTGTGCTCTGAGTTTTGCAGGTCTGTGCTTTTTGGTTTTGAAGCATTCCGCCCGAGCAACGCGTCTTTTGCGGAGAGGTTGCGGAGAGGGGGAGGGGGGACAGGGGGGCACGGGATATCAGTCAAAGGCCGAAAAGACGGTTGCGTGTTTGGCACCTGTGCACACTTGCTGAAAAAAAAATATCGCTTGAATGCCAAACGCCATGAAGCCTGAGCGGGCTACAGCGGGGGTGATCCTTCCCTGTCTGTATTCGACACAAAACGTTGCCACGCCGCACACGCGCAAACCATGAGGCCGTGCCACCGAAGACCGTGCTTCAACAGAGTACATGCATAGAATTTTTTTGTTTGAAATCAACCCAACCACCTCACGGAGGCAACGGTGGCAGCAATCCCCATTGTGTTTGGCACTGTATATTGTCCACGTGTAGTCAAACGTGGTTGCTCGCTTGGGCGAGAAGGAACAAACGTACTGCAGGTCGACATGCACCTCCCACCAAAATATACCTCCCGCCATCCACCTCCACCAAAAAAAAAAAAAAACGCAACACGGCGGCTGTGACATCCTCGAATGCAGCACACCGGCAACAAACTCGAAATGTACCCCCAACCACAAAGGCAAATCAAGGCAAACACACCAACACGAGAAATCTGATGTACCCACTTATTGCAAGCCCCCGGGCCTCTTGCCCCTCGTCAAAAAAAAAAAAGGGCCACCTGGCGGCCAACCCAAAGAACCGCGTCGAAGGGGCGCTGACTACATCATTACCCCCAAAAGTTACAAGAGCGGAACCACCTTCCAGCCAACTGGTTTGAAGTTTTTCTCTTTGTCGGCGGCCGCGGCTGCCGCAATGTGCGCCGTGGGTGTATTGTTGCACTTTTTGCAAAGGTGCAGTGCTCTCGCCTTTCCTTTAGAATCGGAGCATACGTTACACCAACAGACACCGGACGTGCGCGTGGCGCTGTACCTACCATTGCCCGTTGGCTTAGAGCAAACGCCACCAGAGCAAACACGAGGCGATTTAGCGCCCTTGCTGTCGTACGACTGCACGACGGGAGTCGTACGCCCGGCGCCTGAGTTTAGGGTACCTACGTTGCAGAGGGCCATAAGGTGCGTCGAAAGCCTCTGGTCCCACGTGACTCGCTCCTTGCTCAAGCTCTTCTTGAGAAGAACACCAAATTCCTCCAGTTCGGTCTTGGAACGAGGTGTGGAGTCATCCACGGTGTGGGTCGTCCCCGGCCCCCCGGCCACTGCGCCACCCGAAGATGGAGCTCCCTCCGAGGCCGGCGCACCCCCCGAA